TCCTCGTGACGCGTACGTTCGCGTCACCCTGTATAGGATGCAAAAATCTTGTGACGCGTGCATTCGCGTCACCCTGTATAAGATATAAAAATCCTTGTGGCATGTTCGTTCGCGTCACCCGCTATAGGATACAAAAATCTTTACGACGCGTACGTTCGCGTCACCCGCTACAGGATAAGAAATCCTTACGACGCGTACGTTCGCGTCATCCGTCACAGGATAGGAAATCCTTACGACGCGTACGATCGCGTCACAGGATAGGAAATTCTTGTCGCATCATCCATACCGAAGGCGTCAATTTTTGGGAACGCGTTACTTTTGTTTTCCATCGTTAAGTAGGAAAAGTTAATAACGACCTTACGTACCTTCTTAAAGCCATTCGGGGATTAGAACCGTCGTCCTCGGGCAAGCCGATTTGGCCCACTTGGAATTGAGAGCCTGGACCCCACACGAGCCTTTGGATAGGGTTCCTGGGTCGTTCCGGCCTTATTCTCTCGCAGGAATTCAATCCATTCGGTGGCATGGTTCGCCTGCTCATGATTCCCTGCCTCTTCTTCTACTTCTTTGTCCTCACCCTTGCACCCTCCACTCTCCACTCCTTATCCGACCCCAACCAAGCAAGTAGAACAATCCGCTCTTTTCCAATCCTCCTTTTTTCTTTTCAATCTACATCTCGCTCCGCGCTTCGCATACTTTAACGTTTCAATCCTCGATTCGAGCCAATTCTCGATTTTCCTTTCTCCTCCCCTTCCCCCCGCCCCCTTTAAATCCTTCAGCTTTTATGGAAAACCGTTTTCGCTCCGTAGATTTCTCGTACGAGAGGCCTCTCTCATCGAGAGACGAAGAAAGAAGGACGAGTCATTTTGAGCGCCGGACCACCAACTTCTACAACACGGTTTTCTCTAACGGCGATCGTACGATCATCCCATACGAAACTCGAGCTGGCCTATAGCCTCGGGGTTGACCGACCCACTTCTCCCCCTCGCTGGATCCGAGCAATCGAATAATTTCGATTCAGCCTTTTCTCTCTACCTCTCTCTTTCTTTCCAATCCCTTTTCGACGATTTTCAAAGACAGACAGATGTCCTATCGTTTACAATTCAGAGTTTCTTTGACAGACTTTTCCTCCACTCGACAATTTTCTACAATATCATTGCGGGATTATTATTACCTAATCCGAGGATTAGGTTGGTAAATGTTCTTTCTTGTTCTACGTCGGGTAAGAAGAACCGATTCGAGATATATTTTTTTCTTTCTTTTTAGATTTCCTTCTCGTGACACGACTCGCATCAAGCGTTCACTTTTCGAATTTCGTTAAATAGCCATTAATAAGAACTCGAATCAGGATTCACTCTTTCTCGAGTAACTTTTATTTTTGAAAGGAGTGTCGTTTCAATCGAACCAATTCACAGAGAGAATAAAGGCACGTAGGACGAAAACGTTTCAAGGGTTGGTATCGCGGACAACGATCTAAATTAGAATCTATTCTCGCAATTGTTAAAAGCGGATCGATATAAATCGGTGCTCGTTAATCGCGAAAGAGACGCGTGAAAAGGTTTGGATGGCTGGCCGTAGCGTAGCGTTAAATTTCAATTTATCAGGATTTTATCGACAAATACGATTAATTATCGCAGGATCTCGTATTCCTGCAACGAGAATCGTATCTTCTGCAACGATCGATCGATCAACATTTCCCGAAAGAGAATAATCGAAACACTCGCGCGTTAAAACGATAGTGACGAGTCGCATGTATCCTCTTTTTTAATCCGCGTGCACAAACGCGGTTATCACAGTTCTTCCGATTCAAAACGAAAGTAAAATGGAATTTGCGATTATTATCGATACTGAAAAAAATTCGCGAATGAATTAATCAGCTGGACGATCAAGAATGAAATATATGGTAAATATATAATTAAAAAAAAAAAACTTAGCGAAAATTCCCGATAGTCGATCGAATCGAGATGAAGTACGGTGCAATTTCCAGAAAAATTCCTGAGCGTTGGATACAGCGTAACGAAGCGTATACCGTGAAAATTTGCGAAAAATCTGGAGAAAATTCTTAATGGTTGATCGAAACACCAATTATCGCACCGACGAACGAACGAATTCTCGACAGCCGGCCTATTCGACATGTCTTCAAGAAGCGCGAACAACGAAATCCTTGCTCTCTCGGAGGATCACGCGCACGGCCCCTCCGTGCCTCGCTTCAGGGAGGTGGAAACGGAGAGAATCGCGTGGATGACTCTCACGAGAGAGATCGGCAACCTGTACACCCGACGGCTGTAACACTCTATCTCCTTCTCTCCCACTCCTCCACTTTCCTCCGCGAGAAACGTGCTCCCAAGCATCGTCGCTTTCGTCGCCTCGTTCCCGCTGCCAACTCCATCGAGATACGTATACATATATTTCTAACTATGTAAGAATGGAGAAAAAAAAAAAAATTCCAGCTCCTTTGAAAATTCTGCAAACATTTCGTGTCTCGGTTCGTTGATCGGTCGATATTTATAGAAGAAGTTCATTTTATGACAACGAGTATCAGTATATATATATATATATATATATATAGTATTGCATCGTTTCGCTGGCAATCTGAACGTTTCGATCGCAATGATTCGCTTATTCGCTTCGTTTTATTGGTGAATACGCGATATATCTTTCTCGCGTGGATGTAATTGAAAGTTGTACTGTACTCTTTGTACTACGATTAAGATGCTGTCGAGTGGAGATATTTAAAGATTCGTTCGAGAGGATAAAAATTTCGAGAAATTGTTTTTGAAATTTCTTTAAAAAAAAACTTCCGTTGAGAGTAACCTTTTTTCTCTCTTAATGCAATATTTATTTGCGAAAAAAATATAAAATTGACAACAATTGAGTTTTGTTCTCGAATATATCAAATAGAAAAGAAAAATGAGGAAAGGGGGAAAGAAAAGAAAAGAAGGATAGAAAAATGACGAGCGTCACGCGGATAAATGAACTAGCTTGGGAAATAAAAAATAATGGATGCTTAGAAAGATGATGTTAAGATAACAAAGAACAAGGAAGAGAATCCTAGAAAGGGAGGGAGGAAAGGAGAGGGGAAAATACAGACAAAAAAAAAAAAAAGAAAGGAAACGTCTTCGAAGAATATAATTAGAAAATAAGATTCCTGTGTAAAGCGAAACGAGCAGTCGAGCGGTACAGTTACCACTTGAATAACTAAGTACGTATATTATGGATAGCGGAGGGACAAGCACCGAGAGAAGAACCGACGACGTGACACATAGGATTGGTGAAAAGAGCGATCAAAAGGTATGAAGCAACGTCATAACGTTGTAAAATTATGCATAGGATAATTAAAGCGAAATTTCTGGCAAAATATACTCGTATCGTATGTGTCTTTTGCATTCCATTAATTGGGCGTTAATATGCAAGGAGGGCATACACATAACAGACTCGTGAAACGGTACTGGAATTATACGAGGGGATCGAGTATTCGATGTATTTACGGTATCTGTTCGATTAAACCAGTGTTTCCCAATCTTTTCCTTATTTTTGTTCTTCTTTTTCGTTTTCTTTTTTTACAATTATTCCGCCATCCTTCCCCTTTTTTGCGTCTAAAAATCGTAATTAAAAATTACTCCTTACAAAGTTAATATTATCCTATTAAAGTGTAAAAAAATAATCGCGAATAAAACGATAATCACAATAACCTCTTCTCTCCAAAGTCACTTCGATCCACCGGGTTGAGAATCCATGGATTAAAGCATCCTTGACCGTCTCTAATAACCATTTTCGTGCGGTCGAATGCATCGTTAAAATATTACATTGCCGTTGAAAGAGAGAAAGAGGAGGGGGAAGAGGAGAAAAAAGTCAAACGGAAAAATGAAATTGGTAGTGGAGGGGCGAGAAAGAGAGAGAGAGGGAAGGAAATAAGGAAGAAGGGGAGACGAGAATGTCGACCTACTGTCCTGCATACCACGCGGGACTACCTGGCAGATCAAGACTGAACACGATACACGTGGTCGAAACGTCGAGAGATTTCCTTTCCGCCTATGTAAATTCACTTGGTCGAGCGTTCACTTCCTTTTCGATCTCTTTTCCACCTCCGCCTTCCGCTCTAGACACGTGACCGTGAACATTCTCTACTAGGGAACAACCTTTCTATCGACAACTTATCTCGTTGCGTCATTCTACACCGTTCTTCAACCTCGTCCTTTCTCGGTAGTGTATATACGTATATGTATATTTTTCAATCGTTTATCATAACTGGAAATTATAGCGATTAAATTGAGTGATATCGATACAGATTGGATGCTGCTTTAATATTTATGAAGTTGATAATTTGTTATGATCGATTATTGAGTCGTTAATCATTTAATATCGAGATATAACATATGTTTCGTCGTTTCTCTTTATTTCAGGAACAGAATATTATTTTCTTTTCTTTTTTTCTATTTTTTTTTTTTTTTTTTTTGTTTTCAACAATGAAAAACCGAGGCACGTAGATTAAATTTGAAATATGTGCTTCAATTTTTAAAACTAGAGCGAAAGATTATCGAGTCATTGATCATTTGATATTGAGATATGAATATGTTTAATCATTCAAGATATTTCTTTATTTCTTTTTTTTTCAGGAATAGAGTATTATTTTCTTTTTTTTTTTTTTAGTAAAGCCGAAATACGTAGATCAAATTCACGAAACTTGCGCGTTTCAATTTTTAATTTCTAGGGCGGAAGGTTTAAAGGGGGCGAGTTTGTCTTTGCAATTGGATCTTAATAGAGACGATTGTTCGAAAGTAAGTTGGAGAGGTGAGGAAAGAGCTCGATTCGATAAACACGGCGGCTCTTTAAACCGTTAATAACATAATTGGATACGATACAATGGTCGAACGAGGAATATTATGAACCTTTGTGCGGCCAATTAACGAAGATACACTTTAATCGCTTAAAGCGAATTCTCATTTATCTTCGCAAAGAAAACATTTCATGCTCTGAAAGTTTCATACTCTCCGCCATGCGACAAAAAAAAAAAAAAATTTGTGCATATTATATCGTTGAATAAAAAGATAGAAAAAGAGGAACATTTATTTCCAATTTTATTTACTTACTTTTTATAATCCCATGCGCGGCACCAATGCACGTCGAGAATAAATTTACCAAAATTTGTGCACAGCAGCGTGATAGATCTTGAGAACAACGTTCCTCTTTTTCTAACTTATATATACGCGTAACATTTTTTTAATAACTCATCGAGTTTACGGGAGACGATCTAATTCACGGATTTGTCCGTGTGAAATCTTGGATATAATGAGAAAGAAGATCTCGCTTATAAAAATGGAGGAAATATGAAAATTACCGTGAATCAAGGATTCTATTTATATCTCTGTTTATATTCTCGCCGCTGTAATATACCAGGGATTAAAGTTCGCACGGTTGCATACGGTTGGTGAAATGGTTGGGGCCAGGCCATCCTATTATCGCTATCGGGTTATCCCATAATTTTCATTTAGCTACTTGCCGCGTAATCGGTTAATAGGGAAAATCGATCTGTTAGCATTAAAATTGTATTACAGAACCGGAGCAGAAAACCTTTTCTTCTTCTTCCGCGGCGAATTTCGAATTAAATATCGAATTAAGCGCACGCATTATTTCAAATTCGCGTGTTTTGACATTTCGACAATTTGTAACAACTTGTTTCGAAAGTTTCGAAACCAATTACCGGCAAGTTCAATTGAATCGCGAAAA